GTACCTCTGTAATGATGGTGCTGGTGAAAATGCTCTTGTCGTACACCCACCCATCAGCGCAGGGTTCAGTCTCCAGCTCGGTTAGGTTTGTGACTGTGGCGTTGGAGTCTAGGAGCTGCCACTGCATAGTGACAAAGCGGTGACAGTTCTCTGGCTGCTGGTTGCTATCCATGGGGATGGAGACCCTGAGGAGGTCCTTGGCAGCGAGCTTTCCGGTGAGGTTGGTGTAAGGAGTGTTGTTGATGTTGATATGGACCTGGCAGTGGTGCTCAGAGATGGCAGCAGTGAAGTTCTGCAGGAGGTTATGGCTGGCCATCATGAAAACTGGGATAGCCAGTAAGATCGCATAGATGATTTGGAAGCGACCCATCCCCCCGACGTGGTCTAAGAGCTTGGCAAAACTCATGGTGCCGGGTTGAAAGATTCAGCACTAACCGTCTGGGTTAAGCAAAAACAATGGGGCTCAAATAACGGACGTTACTTGAATAGGTCGATTACTTGTAAAAATTAAACGTTGTGTGATCAAAATATCTACACAGAAAGATGTTAATTTGAATCCAGCTTGTATTGCACTTCACAACTTCAAAGACAGCCATAAAGCGCAGCACTTCTTACAAAAAGTCAGCTGTTGGCAAATAGTGTGCATGGATTCTTGAGGGTGTAGTTTCCAAAGAAGAGGTGTTGAGTTATATTCTCCCTAAATAACCGAGTGTGCTACCCCGTTGCTTCTCCTTTGTTGCAAAAATTCCCATGCAACCATTCCTAGTTTTCTGTCAGCTGCGGGAAAACTCCACACACCTTTTCTATGAACTGTAGACGCATAAGGGAATCGTTTTGCCACGCTTAATTCCACGTTGATCCTTGCATTTTACCCTCTGGAAAAGCAGGTGGGGGTTTATATATCCCTGGGAGGGTTATATAAGGCCTTAAGCAGGTCACTTGGTTAAAATTTTATGTTGTTTTGCATGGATTAAGTCCAAAAAAGGGAAAGTCTGAAAACAATGTGCTAGATATGGGGCTAAATGCTTCCAATGCAGAGGTGACAAACACACTGATCCAACCTGCTAAACCACATTGTCTTTGGGTGAGTATATTATTCACACCACAGGGCTAGAAATTAACTATAACTAAAAAGGATCCAGATTTAGCTGAGACACCACAAGCCCGCCTCTGTCCTGAGTGGGGTGACCAGACAGGAAATGTGAAAAATCGGGACAGGGGGTGGGGGGTAATAGGAGCCTGTATAAGAAAAAGACCCAAAAATTGGGACTGTCCCTATAAAATCGGGACATCTGGTCACCCTAGTCCTGAGTCATCACTATTCTTAAAATATCACTTGGATATACCCACTGAGATTGGGGCCCCATTGTGCCAGGGATTGTACAACCCCATAGTGCGA